GGCTGCCTCTAGGGGCCCATGCTCTATGTCAGCTTTCAACAGATTGGCAGAAAAAAGAGACACCATACACATCTCCAGGTGACCCTGCTCACTGGCAGAGGTGATCTAATGAGTGCCCGGGCTTCTGCTTAATCATATTTTTCCTCTTCTTGGAAAAGGGGCAAGAAAGTGGTGTAAGGGGAGAGTCCGGAGAAAGAAGCCCCTTTTCCACATTCCTTTAGAATTATTTTGGCAACAAGTAGGAGCATTAAAACCGTTCATACCTTCTACATCAATCGTTTTATTTCTGGAGTCATTTCTAAAGAAATAATGCAAACTAAAGGAAAAGCTTTCTGCTCAGACTTGTTTATTACTGAGCTATTAAGAATAGGAAAAAAAGCTGGAATCCACATAAATGTCTAACAATAGGAGAATGATTAAGTAATTTATAACACCTCGGCTCAGTTTAATGTATCACAGTCATTAAAAATGTTCTGAAGAGATTATATTAAGATGGAAAAAAATTCTTAGGTTAACTAAATCAAAATTAGGATTTAAATTTTATATTCAAAATGAGAGGTGATACAAAAAAAAACAGGCAAACTCAACAATGCATTGACTAAAAACTAGAAAGATATACTACAGAATGTTAACTACAGTTTTATTTGGGTGGTAGAACTACTGATGGTTTTTAGTTCTGCTTTTCAATGTATTTTCCTACTTTTGTTCAATAAACTTACATAAAAATGGATACCATTTACTGAGTATTACTGACCTTATGCCAGGCCCTTTGCTAAGCACTTTTCATAGATTATTTTATTTAAATCTTTCAGCAACCCTGTGAGGTGGGTGCTTTTGTTATTTCCAGTTTACAAATGAAGAAACTCAGAGAGCATATGTAACTTGCCCAAAGTCATGAAATAGAGCTCCCCACACCCTCATAACGTACACTATCTGCTTCTGTAAAATTGCTTGCTTAACCTAAGTAACTCCATTTTGCCCCCTGTCTGACCAGACTACTCCCCCCTTCTGCATGAGAAACTGTTGACCTTTTCATAGAAACAAAACACAACTGCATAGAAACAGGAGCCATACACAGTGAATTATTACATGGGAACAGGAACCATACACAATGAAAACTTACATGCTTGACTACTCGAAAGGCTCATTCTCGGCCTCTGTGACCCAGCCCCCTAGCTTGCTCTGTGCAACTGGAAAATCCTGTGTGCCAACGGGATATAGTTTTTGTCTTTAAAAACCCCACAAGACCAAAGCCCGATGCCATTCTTCCTTGGTTGCTCCTTGGGAGACAGACGTTGGCCAGCTGGAGTGAATAAACTGCCCTTTTCTGCACGAGTGGTGTGTAAGTGCATTTCTTGTGGGAGGGGGCCTCACAACAGTCACACAGCTGATAGGTAGATGTATTAGTCTGGTTGTGTTGCTATAACAGAAATACCTGAGACTGGATAATTTATAAAGAACAGAGGTTTATTTGGCTTACATTCTGGGACAGCTGCATCTGGCACAGGCCTCAGGCTGCTTCTACTCATGGTGGAAAGCAGCAGGCAGCTGGTGGGTACAAGCAGATCACATGGCATGAGGGAGAGGGAGGGAGGGGGGGAGAGAGAGAGAGAGAGCATGCACCAGGGTCTTTTAAACAACCAGTTCTTGTGGGAACTAATAGAGCAAGAACTCACTCATTACCCCTCCTCCCCCAGGGAAAGCATTAATCCATTCATGAAGGAACTACCCCCATGACTCAAATAGCTTCCAGCACTGTCACATTGGGGATCAGATTTCCACATGAGTTTTGGCAGGGACAACACATCCAAACTCTATTAGTAGAGAAGCCAGGATGTAGAGCCTGGTCTGATATCAGAGCCAAAGCCGACAATATACATGCCACCCTCCCCAATAAGAGAATAAATTAGATAAATAATTTATGTAAAACTATACACATGAAAAATTACATACCAAAGAAAAATAGACTTCTTTTAATTGGTACATCCATCCTTCAAAGCTAGTTCAAGGCCTATCTCTTTTGTAAGAACTGTTCCTGTCCCTAAATTCTCGTGCTGGTATTTGCTCCCTTCAGTGACTCTTACATTGTCCTATGTTGTTGGCTATCTTTTCTTGTTTATGGGATTTATACTCTCAAATAACAGAAAGTCTCCTCACGCTGTTTTTCCCTCTTCCCCCTCCCTTTTCTCCCTGTTGTATGCTAAATGTCATCTGCAATCTCTCTGCTCCGTAAGATAAAATGAGCTAGAAACTCCCAAACTCATGTCCTTACGGAAATTAAAAGCCTTACCCAAGATTTCCCCAAATGCCCAGGAACTTGCTTTCTTAAGTTTACTTATGGCCACTTCTACCTCCAACTCCTGACTCCACTGAGCTAGTTCATTCAGGAAAAGTTCTCGACTTTCTGTCTCTGATCCAAGTGGAAACTCAGCCCCTTTCTCGGTTTCTACAGAAGACCCACACTTACAAGGCAATCTGAATATGTAGACTTTATTGAAGGTATTGGAGGGCTGAGGAGAGGTTGACACTGCTGAAATTCCCACTTGAACATGAACTTAGACATCCTTGTGAAAACAAAACTCTTGGGCCACCAGGTCCTAGAGATAATGGTATTCATTGGCTACTTTGCTCTGTGTAATATCCTCCCTCTCCTCCCGCCCCATTGCCCTTCTACCCCACTCTCCCCCCTTATCTGAACTCCAAATTCTCTCTCCTCTGCACAGCCATTCAACTCCCTCAAGCCACAACCTCCAGACTCAGCTCCTAACCCTTCCAGGTGCCCCGCTGAACAAAAGGACCTTTCATTGTAGCAGAATCCACTCTTCTTACAAGCCAGTTGTGTTTGTGGATAGCAAACTTTTTATCTTCTTCTGTTACACTTAAATATGTCCACTGAATTAAGAACCTGCTTTTGCCAGATGCTAAAGATATACAAAATTGAGAAAAAAACACAAGCGACAATCATTAAACACTTAATCCTTAAATTCCTTAATAACTCACAGTTTATGGAACAATTAACCCCCATACCAGCTCACTGTTGCTATAACAAAAGTAGAGGCACAGGACCACGGGGCTCAAGGGGGTGAAGCAGCCTGTAGATTTGTAGAAATTCAAGGGCCTGACATGCAGGAGTCTTGAGTTCCTTTCTCTAGCTATGTGTTCAGCTGGTTTTCCTCGTGTTTCCCTTCTAAAAGCTTCTCTTTGGATGTGGCTGCCAAGATTCTTTCCATTGCATTATACAATATGGGGTATTTACGACTGACACTAACCCCAATAGCACTAACTTCTCAATAACCTCACTTTGAAACATGTAAAACATTAGGTCTGCACTAACTCTGAACCATCCTGCTGAGTACTATGGATGAGCATCTGCAAGACCATTTGGTGGGTTGAGCAACAGAGGATATTGAGGGTTCTGTAAAGAAAGTCAATATGTGCTACGATGCTCAATAAAGTCCATTTTTAACCTAAGTTTCCTGTTCCTGCTTTTTTTTTTTCCTTTCAAAACCCAATGCAAACCAGAGCTCTTCTTTCAGATTCTTCAAAAGTAAATGGGGGGCCGGCCCGGTGGCACACTGCTACAGTGCGCCGCTTGGGAAGCGTGGCGGCGCTCCCGCCGAGGGTTCGGATCCCACATACAGACCGGCCGCTCACTGGCTGAGCGAGGGGCGGGGGCAACACCGAGGGCTGCGATCCCGTAGCGGGTCCGGTCCGGTAGGGGCACGACACTGAGGGTTGTGATCCGTTGCCGGTCACGAAAAAAGACAAAAAGGAAAAAAAAAAAAAAAGTAAATGGGGGGCCGGCCCGGGGGCACACTGCTACAGTGCGCCGCTTGGGAAGCGGGGCGGCGCTCCCGCCGAGGGTTCGGATCCCACATACAGACCGGCCGCTCACTGGCTGAGCGAGGGGCGGGGGCAACACCGAGGGCTGCGATCCCGTAGCGGGTCCGGTCCGGTAGGGGCACGACACTGAGGGTTGTGATCCGTTGCCGGTCACGAAAAAAGACAAAAAGGAAAAAAAAAAAAAAAGTAAATGGGGGCAGGGGAGGGCTGCAGATCTCTGTTATCACAAAGGATGTTGCCTGCACTGACACTGGTTTCAACAGTTCCTTTACAAAATACTGTGACTGTGCTTTATTTAGCCTTAGCTTGAATTTTTGAGCATGGAACAATTGGTTGTCAAGACAATCAAACTGCTGTGCCATAGAAGTTCTAATATTTGTAGAGCACACACTACATGCTAGTTATTGTGTTGACTGGTTAAAAATAATATCAAATTAATCCCCATGAGGTAAATGATATGTCAGATTAAAAACAAAGAAGAAGAAGAAAATTGAAGCTCTGACAATTTGCCAAAGATCAGATGACTGAGTAAACAGCTGAAGTTTGAAGCCAGGTTCATTTGAGTCTGAACTCATGATATTGCTCAAATGCAACAATTTATAGAAATAAAAATTCTGTCGGTTTTTAGGTCATTTCTAGTAATTTGATACCAAATGTTAAAACCAAATGCTTCTATCTTTTAAAGAAATAATCAGGATTTGCCTTCACCTTAGTATAAGATGCTGCTATTAAGTTTAAAATTCAAATTGTAATTATGGCTGTACTCTGGGTTGAGATATTTTAAGTTAGTTTTTTAATTATAAAAGAGATGTTCATGTAAAATTTTAAAACTTAATGTGGATGTATGAAGTTTAATATAAATGTCAATGGCCCACAAAAATTTGAATAAACATTTCACCAGAGGAGATCTCCAGATAACAAATAGGCATATAAAAAATGCGCAACATCATCAGTCACTAAAGAAATGAAAATTTTCCACTAGGAGAGCTAAAATGTAAGTCTGACCATACCAGATATTGGCAAGGACATGGAGAAACTAGACTGTCATACACCGTTTGTTGGTATGTAAATGGTATAACCACTTTGAAAAACAGTTTAGCAGTTTCTTAAAAAGTTAAACATACACTTACCATACGGTCTAACTGTTTCATTCCTAGGTATTTACACAGGAGAGATAAAAGCATGTGCAGATACGAAGACTGGTGCATGAATGTTCACAGCAGCTTTATTTGTAAGAGCCAAAACCTATTGATAATCCAAACGTCCATCAGCAGATGAACAGATAAGCAAATTGTAATACATCCATGCAATATAATGCTATTCAGCAATTAAAAGAAACACAACAATATGGATAAATCTCAAATTAATTTTTCTGAATGAAGGCCAAAAATAGTATATATTGTATGATTCTATTTATATAAAGTTCTAGGAAATGCAAACTTTTAGTGACAGAAAACAGATCAGTGGTTGCCTGAGGAGCGGGGACAGGGAGGGATTACAAAGGGGTGTGAGGACACTTTTGAGGGTAACGAATATATTCATTATTGTGATTGTGGTGATGGCTTCACAGGTATGTATGTATATCAAAACTTATTACATTATACACTTTAAACATGTCCAGTTCTGTTACACACACACACATGTTGCAATGGACACAATGCTTACGTCCCCCCCAAATTTATATGTTGAAATCCTAACCCCCAAGGTGATAGTATTAGGAGGTGTAGACTTTAGGAGATAATAAGGTCATGAGCATAGAGCCCTCATGAATAGGTTTAGTGCCCTTATGAAACAGGACTGAGTGAGACCACTCACCCCTTCCACCATGTGAGGATACAGCGAGAAGGCCCTTTATGAAGCAGGAAGCAGGCCCTCACTAGACACCAAGTCTGCCAGTGCCTTGATCTTAGACTTCCCAGCCTCCAGAACTGTAAGAAATAAATTTCTGTTCTTTATAAGCCACACAGTTTATAATATTTTGTTATAGCAGCCCAAATGGACTAAGACACACACAGAGCCAATACCCCAAAATCCTCTCCATAGGTTACTACCAATATCAATTTTATGATCATCTTTTTAGACATTTACACAATAGGGATCATAACATACACAGCTGTCTACAACTTGCTTTTTTCACTTGCACATTTTTTCATGTGTATACATACAGATCTACCTCACTGGCTGCCTAGTAAATCTAGTGTACTGAATGCTTTGTGACATTTAATGAGTCCTCTATTTGTCGACATTTAGGTGGCCTCCAATTTGTACTAGAGAATTTTTTTTAACCACTACAGTTGTCTCCAGAGTCATAAGCACCTGACTAAAAAGCTTCCTGCTCATGAAAACATTTTGTTGCTGGTGCTGGCTCCTACCCTGTCCTTCCTTCCTTACCCTGGCGGCCAGCAACCCAGCTGCCCTGGCCTACTTGCTCCACCTGGTGGGCAGTGTAAGGTACTACCTAGGTTTAGTACTCTATCTGGGCAGTCTCCTTGTCTGGTTTGCACTTCTCAAATCCATCTTGCCCCTGGCTGCCAGTGATCTTTCTAAATACAAATCTGATCCTCTCACTCTCCTGATGAAAACTCATCATCTAAAACAAACCCAAACTCCTTAGCAGAGCATACAAAGTAATAATACTCTGACCCTTGGCCACTTCTCCAGCCTCAATTTCAATAACCCTCTGCCTGGCACTCGAGGAATACATAACCAATTGTAGTTCTCAAAACACACAGTACTGCTTCATACATCCATATCTTTGTACCTACTATGTGCTCTCCGTGGAGTGTCATTCTGCCCACACCTATTCCATGTTTGCCTGGCAAACTCCTATTCAGCCTTCAAAACCCTACTTAAGAGTCCACTCCTCTCTGCAGTCTTGTTTTTTTCCTCACATGAAGTTGATCACTTCTTCCTACATGCCTGGTGTATACATCTGATACCACACCTATAACATTTGATTCTAATTATCTGTTTATATGTTTGTCTCCTGTACCAAACTGGCTACTTCCCTAAACCCTCTCACTAAATTTGAGGGCCAGGACTGTCTCTTGGTTGTGGTTGTCCCTCCAGAATCTTCCACAGTGCACAAAATGCAGAAAAATGAGGACCGATAAGCTGACATTGAAATAAAAAGAACTAACCACATCTGTAGCCTCTAGGGAGTGATGCTGGGTGCTTCCTCTTTTTCCAACGTGTGTAGGACCTGCCAAAGGTAGGAAAGCTATTGGTCAAGACAAAAGGCCAGAGGCTGAGACCTGTCAGAGGGACTACACACTCTTTAACCTCTAACAAATACATTGTCAAGTAATGTCCACCACTTGGGCAAGCCCGAAGGTCATATGAACTATCTTGATCCTGGCATTCCTCACTCAATGGTTGGGGAATAAATGACAATGGGGTTGGTTTGCAATTTACAACCTTGTCCCCCCGTTAGGGGACACAAGGAAATTATTCTAACAAATGGGGAATTTCCTAGCTTTTTTTCTTACTTCCCCCCATGGGAGAAATTGTAGGGTCATGGTGACCCTCTTTTTTCCTCTTTTGGGAACCAAAGCTAGATGTTTAACCCTCTTACTCATTCATCCAACAAGTATTTATGAGGTGCCCACTATGTGTCGGGCAATGATCCATGCCCTCATGGAGCTTAAATTCTAATGGGAGAAGAAAGGCAATACTAATAAACATGATAGGTAAACACATTGCGTACTACAGTAGAAGATAAGACGTGCATAAATCCCACTGAACTTCCTGTTATGTGAGATGATTTCCTCACTGTGTAAGCCAGTTCGGATTGGATTTCTGTTCCTTGAAGCTAAAAGCACCCTGACTAAACTGAGGCAGCCACCTTGGCATGCCTTCCTTAAAAGCAATGGTTGTCATCAACTAGTTCCATCTGCTCCCTTGAAAAGGAAAAATAATTACAAGGAGATGTCAGAGTCTCAGATTCCATGTGGAGGTTTTCCTGAGGGCCTTTGATGACTCTATGTTCTTCCTCATGTACCATTCAATTATATCCATCCCAGATAATCTCCTTCTCACTATCACACATGGGAGTCAGAAAGCTGCACCTCCAAGTATACCCCCAGGACAGGACTCAAAAGCAGCAATAGCCAACTGCTGTTCATAGGCAGGCTCTGTCCACAGGGATGAGCCAGCAGCATGACCCCAGCCCTCCATCCCAGATAATCTCCTTCTCACTATCACACATGGGAGTCAGAAAGCTGCACCTCCAAGCATACCCCCAGGACAGGACTCAAAAGCAGCAATAGCCAACTGCTGTTCATAGGCAGGCTCTGTCCACAGGGATGAGCCAGCAGCATGACCCCAGCCCGAACACCATCATCTGTACCCTGGGTTACTGCCACAGCCTCCCAGCTGGTCTCCCTGCTTCTTCCTTACCCTTCTATACTCTGTGATCATCCTGCCATTTTGCTCCAATCAAGTCCCATCACTTACAGTCACTGCATGATCTGGCCCTGGGTCAGCTCCAAACTCTCCTCCTACACCTCCCCTTACTCACACGCTGCAGCCACACTGCGCCCCGCCTGTTACTTGAGAGTGCCAGCATGCACCCACTCAGGTCCTTAGCACTTGTTATTCCTGCTCCCCAGATAGCCGCAGCCTTTCAGCCTCACTTTGTTTAGATTTCTGCTCAGATGTAACTTTAGCATTGAAGCCTTGCCTAACTAAGCCACCTAAAGTAGCACCCCACGCCCACCCTGCTTTATTTTTCTTGTCATATGTGAAATTATTGTGTGGATCCATTTCTTTATTTGCCTCCTCCCCCCCCACACACACACTAAAATGTGAGCTCCTTGAGGACACAGACTTTGCCTGTTTTGTTCACTGCTGGGTTCTCTGTATACAAGCAGTGCTTGGCATCTAGTAGCTGACCCATAAATATTTGCTGGATGAATTGATGGTCATTTGCCTGACTCTACCTCACTCCACGGGCAAGAGAGGACATTCACACCGACACATCCTTTTAAAGCCTCTTCTTCCTCTCCACTCCTCCTCTGATTCCCATAAGATCTTTAGGAAAGCCTTACTTCCATCTTTTCTTTTCAGTCTCTTGAATATATACATATTTATTTATTTATTTATTTATTTATAATTTTTTAAATGTCATGTCTGGTTGATAAGCTGATTAGTGCCAAAGTTCTTGGACTGTGCACTGACAGAGCTGTCTCCAGGAGGCCAAGGTGTGTTGGAACTAATCAAGGACGACCTCATGAGGCTCCAAACAGGAACAAAGGAGAGGGTGTACAGGGTCGGGGAGGATGCTCGGCTCCCACATCTGCACTCAACACTGCACAAAGTTCGGAAACTTTGGAGGCATCCAAGAAGGTCTGGCATGGACCATGGCTGTCCTATGGCTCACGGTGGCAGAGGTGTCCAAGCATCACTGCAAGCAATAGGCCTGAACGTGCGTGAATCTGAGGAAAAGAGACAAGCAGAGGTAAAGCCGTGCAGTGTTTGTGAGCTCAGAGGTATGTGTGAGCACTCAGAAATAACTGGTGGATGCCTTCAAGAAGACTTTTTTCCAGCAATGTGAGCTGGTAAGCACCCATGCTGTCATATGTTACATACAAAAAGGAAGCATGACCTCATTTTCTATCACAAACTTGTGTAGACTGGGATCTAGTCAATTTGGGGTTACCTGAGAAAGAAAGCATGAGTCAAGAATCAGAGTTAGATATAAAAATGAACCAGGTAAATCAATCTTCATAATCATGGATAGGGTCAAGTTGTCTGCAGTAAATATATCCCAAAATTCTCCAACTACTTTCTCATTTTCCTTTCCTTAAATTAGCTTTTCCCTCAAACAAAGGCATTCTGGAGAAGTTGTTCAAAAACTATACTAGGGTTTTTTTTTTCAGTTTTGTTTAATTACTAGCATTGTACCATTTTTTCATCTCAATTATTTTATTTGGTATTTCAAAGACATTATTTCTTGAATAGTGTTTTATGAGCCATCTGAGGAACTTTAAATTCCTTTTGTGTAACCAGGTATTTTTGCAAAAAAAAAAACCCTGAAAAGTATTAGAACGTCATTTGCTTGTAAATCAGAAACTGCTCAACAGTGAGTTGCTTTTTCTTTTAGCACTGCTATTGACTATGAGCAGAAGGATCTTGGTTAGTCCATTTGCTGTGGCCCAGAAATTTCTGCTTTTGCAGAAGAGAAAATTGTGGAAGAAAGGAGACAGAAAAGATGGCTGAGGGGTGAAGCTATAATTTGTGACCCTTCACAGGTCTGTTTGGAAA